TGCACCAGCTTTTGACAGACTAAATGACATTTTTACAGCATGTTGAACTAATAATGGAGATATTCCTATAATCAATGAAGAAACTTAGGAACTTCTTTTTTTTTTTTTTTCAGCCAGCAATGAAGTATGGGAACTTAAAATTAATAAAATTAGAAAAAATTTAGCAAATTGCCCCCTGGAGAAAGTTTATGTTATGGAGATTCACAGGATTTTTCCCTCTGCAATATGCAAATGGTTCCAGGAAAGGAAATAATTATACAAAAGAATTCCATAGATATCACCACAACAGAAAAACAATGGCATTAAAAAGAACTAAAATGGTGCTACATGGAATCCAAAGCCTAAATATGAGCTTTTAAAATAAAAATCAAATAATCCAAACTGCAGATGCAACATCATGATAAAAAAGGAAAAAACAATTAAACAACATTGCATTCCAAATAACCTATAACTTTTAATTAATATGCAAATAAGAAACAGCAATTGTTACCTCATCAGGGCCCGCTGTGAAAAAGTAAATAAGATTGATTGCTGAAAATCCAGTCTTTATAATCTTTGTAAGGGCACTGCAATGAAGAAACTCTTCCTCAAAATCATACATATGCATTATAAATATACTCTTATTGCATTTTCAGAAATTTGATCCAGACATGAATTAAGAAAAGGCCTCATTTGCATGTTTGGGAGTGGGATCAGGCAGCAGGAAAAATCAGAGGTTAAAAAATATAGATAAATGGAATAGGAACAATCACTGCCTAATTCATGGAAGCACAGATTCTGTTAGCCTTTGGAAGACCAATTTAACAATATGCATGGATACAGTTAAGGTGAATTGATAGACTAGCTGGAGAATCATCATCCTCTTTTGAGAATCATGACTATACTCTTTTCTCTTTTTTTTTTTGGCCTTCCATGACTATACTTATTGGTTCTTCAGAAACAAAGTCCTTTAGGTCCAAGGAAAAATGTTTTGGGTAGATCATCAGCCCAATTAAACACACTCATCATAATTAACACAAGTAGTTCTAACTAACCTTTGTACTTTGTTATCCTCGCAATATTTTGCCACTTCATCTGGTTGCATATCAGCAAGATTTTGTTCTAATGCAGCACTGAAAGGAATAATTGTTTCTCCACCATGTTCCTGGACCCTATAGAAGGATAAGCAACTTTCATTCATTTTGAATAAAAGAAAAGCTTTGACAATTATAATATGTAGAACAAGAAAATAGATGTTTCACTTGAGTCATAATGATCAGATAAAAGTAGACTTCAAAGTAAAGATGTGAAGCTACTTTTGGAGATGCTATATTGATATGTATCCTTATACTTCAATTCCAGCTTGTTGAAAGTGAAATGCTGGTATATTGCTGTGAAGTTCATCCTCTCAACATATGCTTTTTCCAAAATTATGTAAGAAAAATCTTTTGACATTCATTCAAATGGAAATTAAAGTCCAAACAAAATCTGGTTTATAGGACAAGCATGTTGGGACTACCATATATTCTTTATCATTTGCGTCTCAAGTTTCATATTTATGGCCTCATTTAATTTCTTCTTGCCCCAAACCAGCAAACAATAACCTTAACCATAACTTCAATGGCATATACAATTTGAATTTTGAGATAACAGTATCAGGTCTTAATAACATAGGAAATAGGAACAGCCAGAAGCTTCATGAGCTTAAAACACAACCAACTTTTTGCATTAAAACGCACACCACAGGGAGAGAGGAGAGTATACCAGGCATGAATCTTAGGCAAGAACTTGTTCTTTTTTCTTTGGTAATCTTTCTCATTCATGTTAACCTGTGCAAAGAATATAATAAAACTATAATTAAACGCCTTAGCCGCATGCTTAAAATCCGGAAAGAATGAATGTGCTTACTAAAAATCTACTAAGATTGTAGGGAGATCTTAGCTATTTCCTATTATAAATTTAATACAGCAGGTACTCATAAAAAATGTGCCAAACAGAAATCCCGATTTGGTTTTCACTTCCAAACTAATCAAGAGGAAACTAAAAGTGCAAAATCAAGCAAAAGTGTAACAACAACACAGGTACACATGTAATCCAAACTCTTCATTCTATCCTGAGTTATCTATATCAGGCATATTTGATAAATTGATTGGCATGTGTATGTATGTAATGTGTGTAGAGTCTGCCATTAACATTATAGTATTGATTAGCGTATTTCATTAACTATTGGTAACTTGTAAGTAGTGATCAAACAAGTAGCGTACAACAAGAAGATTTTCTGAAATTCAAAGGGAGCAGGGAAGTATTTCCAAATATAACCTAGAGAAAGAAAGTGAAAACATACTAACCAAGTAAACAACAGGCTTGGCAGTGAGCAACTGAAAAGTATTCAGTATCTCAATATCAGCTGCTTTCCAGTCCCCCAAACGGACATCTTTTCCATCTACAAGCCATGCCTTGACCTATACAAGAAGAATCACCACAACTATTATCAAGATCCATAATAGAAACCCAAAAGCTTTATACCATCATAGACTCATAGTCATCACAATTTAATCATATTACTAGAATGAAACAATGAAATATTAGAATTAACAAACAAGTATCTGCCTAGGATTTTGGTGGATTAAGATTGAGGAATTTAGAGTTTCCGGGGGGTTTAAGGATTAAGTAAGGCAGGAGAAGGATTGGTCTGTGGCTGAAAAAGAAGAATATGTGGTCAAAATAGAGGTGTATGAAGCACTAACTTCTTTTTCAACAAAATAAGAGCAGCTAACAAGTAGAGAGCTGCTGCAATAACAAAGTTGTTTATGAAGCAAAGGAGGCATGTCAGTAACCTTCCAGGACAACAAAATAGTCAGAAATTTCAAACTTCTTGAAGCATTCCCAAATGCAAGGTAGATGAATTATAGCCAATTAAATATACTGATCAGAGTACAGACAAAATGAAACACTAGAATATACAGCATATAACAACCAATTTTTAACCTAAAAACAAAATATCACATATGCAAGATGTTCTGAAAACAATTGTCTTAAGCATTACTAGTAGGAGCTTCAGCTACAAAGAATTTTGAATAATTTGGCATACCAAATACAGAAATTAACATGTCATATCAAAAAGGCACTATGACAATAAAGAAAATAGGAAAATGCAGTAAAATGCAAAAAAGTAATAAATCAAAACTCATATAACAAATAAAGACAGTAGAATTTAATCATCCAATAGCAACTCCCATGAAGAACAATCCAGTGTGCAAATAACAGATAAAACAAAAGGATTAAAATGAAAGACAAGATGAAAAGAGCAGCCTGAAAGAATGCATTTTAAAAAGCCTACCCTTTCACATAATTCATGCTCTATTTTTAACTGTTTGTCATTGCTCCTTTTCATGCTCTTTTCAAGGTCCTCTATTCTCTTCTCTGTGAATTCAACATCCTAAAGAACCAAAAGTTTACGGTTAGTTGATATACTGCAGGTACAATTCTCAAGTCACATCAATATCAAAGGAAACACACAAGTCAAGAAAAAAAAGAAAAAAAAGAAAAAGATCAATTACGTTGAATATGCTTGGACAGGAGTTCACAGAGACACAGACAGGGTAACACATTTATACGCATAAGGAAATTTTACACTAATAAATTTATGTGCATAAAAAACTATAGCTATAGTCAGTTCTCATATCTTTTAAGTTACGATAAACAAGGCTGCAAAACATTTATTATTAATGTTCTATTGAGGGACAATTGCCAAACTTGTCAAGTATTTTCTGGCCTACCTCAACACTTGACCTTAGACTACATCTTCCTTGTATCATTCTCAAATACACAATTTAATGTGCATTCACACATCATAAATCCGTACCCAGGTCACTGTCATATTCTATCTCATGTAACATAAACCAATCCAAAGGTTCTCAGTTTTTGTCATCATTTTAGATCCCAAATCATGATCATTGTAAAAAATGCAACAAAGTTGGTAGCATTCAAGAAGTACTATAAGCTTAAGACCGGAATAATAGACATTAGAACATTGAAGTGGACAGTTGGCATACCTTTAGACGCAATTCTTCAGTAATAACCTCCAAATCCCTGACTGGATCCACAGAATCATCAACATGGATGATATCTGGATCTTCAAATGCTCCTGTAGAATAAAAGACAAAAGAGTAGTTTACATAATTGTCTATATATATATATATATATATATAGAAAGTATCAATGGGCAAGCACTAAATAAAATGACTTGAGAATTGGATCTCCAACATTATCGATGATTGGCAGGCAGGATAACAAGCACAAGATACAATACAAGACAGCTCAACCCAATATTATGGTGCATTATTTAGAGCAAGCCAACCATAATGTTTATCAATTGAATGATAGTATAAAAATAGAAATATAGAGCGACTGCAAGTTTTGGCATCTTACGCAAAACATGGAAAATGCCATCAACTGCACGGATGTGAGATAAGAAGCTATTGCCCAATCCTTGCCCTTCATGTGCACCTCTAACTAGTCCAGCTATATCATGGATTTCTAAGAATGCTGAAACCTGGGTAGTGGGATAACAGAAAGCTTCATATGATTACGGAATCAATAACAAATATAATTACTGTTAAGAAAAATATTTTAAAAAAATAGTGGGACGAAGACGGAATTGATAGATGGTTAAAAGACTCAGTCATACTGTGCAAATTACACACACAGGGACACCAACTAATGTTTAGCTGCCCTAACCTCACTTTTAGGCGTGTACAACTTGCAAAGCCACTCAAAGCGCTCATCCGGAACATTAACCCGGGCTTCATTTGGCTCAATTGTGCAGAAAGGAAAATTCTCAGCAGGAATGGATAACTTTGTGAGTGTGTTGAAAAGGGTAGACTTGCCAACATTCGGCAACCCAACCTGCAATCAGGAAAAAATAAGAATTTATAAAACCTAGAACTGGCAGAAACTTCCAAACCTGAAACCAATTATTCCTTGTCTTCATAGAAAAACAGAAGATTTGCAGGATGAACTACTAATTTAACATATCGATTCCAAAGCTGAAAGGTTTCAGATGACATCATGCAGATTTCATTTCCATTTACTACATTTGACAGAGAGGAAAAAGAGATAAAAGGAGAAAAGAGTTACGATCCCAATCTTGAGATGAGAAGAGAACCGGCCGAGGATCGGCCTCTCTGCTGGTGCTTCCTTCGATTTAGCTGCTTTTGGAGGCATTGTTCCCTCTGTGACGGCGGCGAGGGAGAGAGAGAGAGAGAGAGCGCCTTCTAGTTCTAGGGTTTTGTGAGGTACAGTAAGTGCTTAAAGTCTTCTGCTGCCGAGATAGCGTCTTCGGGGAAAAGGTACCAATGTCTTCCTGAGTTCATTTTATAGTCCTCCGAGTCGGGCTGACGGCTCGCGTTGCTTTTAGAGTAAGCTCTCAAATTTTCTGTAAGGACCATAAAAGTCCTTAAATTTATTTTTTATTCCAAATAAAACCTCAAACTTTACAAGTTGGGCCCATGAGTCATCGAACTTATTTTACAAAAATATTCTCTCTTTTGGACGAGCACAAAAGCAAATTAATTTTATTAAATATATTAAATTAAAGTAGGAAGTGCATTTTTAAAATTATTTAGAAAAAAACTACTCTTGAAATAAACAAAAATTAATTTAGAGATATATTAACTATAAATACCAAAAAAAAATTTCTCTCAATTCTTATCAGAAAAATAAAAAAAATAAAAGAAGAGTAAATCAATAAAATGTTTTTTAATATATGCTTAAGTTAAGAGTATTTTTTATTATATATATATGAAAAAAATATGAAATTTAATATTAATTATAATATTATTGTCAAGTGAATGAATGTAATTGAATGGTTAAT